AGGCAGACCAGAGGGAAGGGGTCAAGAAACAAAACTATTATGAATAGGACTTCTGAGTTGCATTTCACATACAAAATGTAAGCTGCAAAATCAAAGTGTTTGGGAAACTGGTTAAACAAGCAGTAGGGAACCCAGCCTATTTGCCCCCAGAAAACAAGAGCTGGGGCTATTTATACATGTCTCAAGAGGAAATGGTTCACTGGTCTCATGAGAATAACAATAACAGTTGCTGGTGCTCGAAATGTGGCTTGTTCCAGAGAAGTGACAGTGGCACAGAATTATAGGTGGCAAAGGACCCAAAGACCACATGGAGCTTCCACATACACACATGGAGTGCAGAACCATCTCCCCTTCCCTTCCAGACTGTAGGATGCCACAAGCTGAGAGCAAGTGCACTACAAAAATATTTACAGACCAAATAACTTGACCATCAGCAAGCCTGTCAGGGAGAGAAACCCAGGCTTGAAAGTGGGGCATGGCCAGTTAATGTTCATGAACAGCTCTTCTTTCAAAACAAATGGGTTTATCTTCCTGTAAGGGCTCCTGGGGATTTGAAGAAGTGAGCTCTGACTCATGAAATCTTATGCTGAAATAAGTTTTGTTAGTCTTTAAAGTCCAAGCAAACTCGTTTTGTTTTGGGTTATTCAGCTAGGATACCCTATACATGGCTGCTACCAGAACTGTAAAAGTCCCATTAGCAGCCAACACAAGAGTGTATTTAAAATCGAAAGATCCATTTTGGCTACCAGATTCTCAAAAGAATGGAAGCTATCCTGGATTCTGGCCCTCTTAAGATAGCTACTGCCATTTTAAAAACACAAAAGCCAGTGTTGGGAATCAAAAAGTTTGTCATATAGTAGGGATCCATATGCACACGAGAAACTACCAGTTAGAGCAGGGAGGACAGAACATGTAAGCAGGGGTCATTTCCTGTGGGAGTGCACAGGAGAGGCGCTTCGGCAGTAAGGAGCCTAGGGGGCGGGCACATGCAACAAGCCCCGCCCCCTACTCCCAGCAGCCCTCAGTCGGGCCACGAGGAGCAAGAAGCAGCCAGGTAAGTTGCAGAGCCCCACCCCCCGCCTTCAGGTACAAACTCTCCCTTCCTCTGTGAGAGCAGATCTGCGCGTTCCCCCCCCCCAATAGCTAGCAATCCAAAACAGTCCAGTGGCACCTTTAAGACCAAGTTTTATTTAGGTATAAGCTCTCCCTCCTCTGCAAGGACAGATCTGCACGTCCCCCCCACCAAATAGCTAGCGATCCAAAACAGTCCAGTGGAGCCTGAGCGGTGGGTGTTGCCTTCTGACACACTTCCGGTGATGTCAGGGGGTGTGACATATGCAAATAAGTTATGCTAATACATTATGCTAATGAGCTCCTGCACCTCTTTTTCTACGAAATGACCCCTGCGTGTAAGTAAAGGTTCAACATGCAAGAGTGCATAATTCCAATCAACCTTCATTAGACTGGAAAATGGGAATCTGATCTTAGAATAAGTTTTCCTCCTTGACTTGTCAAAAGCTCTACCCTAGCCTTTAGGAGCTTGTATGCTATTGATTGATGCATCAGAGAAGGGATAAATGGTCATTTTGCTGTCAAGTTCTAATAAATTTTCTCCGTTTAAGGCCAAGGGTCTATTTTTGTGACAGATTCAGTTTAAACTTCCTTCTGGAGAGCCTGTGGCTATGTAGCAAGTTCCTGTCCCAGCTTCTTTTGTTCTCCAACAACATGTGCTTGAGGGACAATGGGGACTACGTAGTCTCTGTATCCCAATCCCTTAGATGTAGTCCTAGAAATACATATCCTAACTACTGCTCTCTCATAAAAAGGGCTTTCGATATCCTTTTCACTGCTCTGCATCCCAAGTGATCTGATTTCTTATACTAAACCTATTTTACTCTTTTGCATAATTTTTTTCAGATTTCTACTTCCTGTCTATGCAATTATGCATCCCACAACTAGTGGCTAGATATTTTGGCTCAAAAAAATATGTTCATTACCATTTTGGTGAATTTTCACAAGGAAGAATTGGAATATCCAAGGCTGGAAGCTTGGACCCCTGGTCTCACATATTCCCCACTGCTTCCTGCCTGACACTACCCAAGCATCATGTCATGATGACTTTCCTGCATGGAGATAATTTAGTTTGCTATGTACTCGTGACCAATCAGACATTATATTTTTTCAAATGACAGGGTACACATAATTTTCTTAATCTTACTCTACATGCAAGGAAAAACAAATCATGTGGCATCCAAAGTGGACCAAGCTGTCAGTGAAGTTTCTGCCTAGTCATCTGCACCCAAAAAGAAAGTTTCCTTTCTTACCTGTTTTACATTGTATCCTGTTTTTGCACTTGTCTCAATAAACATGACATTCAGCTCTTTAGCTCTCTGTTCCCCTTCTTCAATTGTTATCTGCCTGGGATGGACACACAGAGCAAGGAAAATGGTAACTATCTCATGGCAACTAGGAAAGGGGGTTTATCTGGGAACAGGAGGGAAGTCAGGAGTGAGCGTGTGGTGAGAAGCTGTAATAATTCCACCAAGCAAAGTCCTCTAATTTAACAATGCAACAGGGGATTCAACAATGGTCAATAAGACAGGAGTTGTCACTCTAGGGAGCTGTTGCTATGACAACAAGAGGCAACAGAACTCCTTTATAATGTGGCATATTGCCATTCTGTGAGTTTCTTGTGATTCAAAGATTATTTTTTTAACCTCCATTTTTTTCCAAAAGAAGCTGCCTCCATTCCATTTAATAATTTTCTATTTACCTCTTATCTGCAAGGTCTGTTTTGTTGCCTACTAGCATAATAATGACATCACTTCCTCTTTCTGTTCTAACATCATCAATCCATTTGGATGTCTGCTGGAAGGAGTTGAGATCTGTGAGAGAGAAGAGAAATAAGGAAGGTGGATATCAGACAAAGGCCGGTTTTCCAATAGTGACAGGTTTGATTTTTAAAGGACTAATACTTCTATGGGGTACTTAGAAGCAGGCCCATAGCCAGGAATTTCTAAGTTGGGGGGGGCATTTAAATTTTTCAGCGGGCACTTAGCCAATGTAATTTAATTATTTATCCTGTGCACCCCCCTCCCTCAAGCCCCCTCCCTGGATCTCCGGTGCAGCCAGCATCCCATGGCCTCCGTCTCTCTCTCTGGCGTCCCCCCTGCCTGTTTCCAGCCGTCCAGCTCTCCCTTCCCTCCATAGGGTGGGATTGGGAGGTCACATGAGCCTGTTCAGCTCCCTCGCTGCTCTTGGCCAGCAGCTTCTGTCCGTCGCTCTCCCTTCCTGCAATGAGCCCCCCGGCACAGATCAAACCACTCGATGGCAAGCGGGACGTGAGTCTCTCCTGCACTTCTCTGCCCAACTTTCTCTCCTGGGCACCAGAAGAGGTCCTGGAGTGGCGCAGACTTTTGGCTCCAGCCCAGCTCTGTCTTTCCCCATGCCGCTCGGGTCTTGCTGCTTGCTACACAAGCTGCCCTGAGTTAGATGTGAAGAAAGGCAAAGTGGCAGGCCCAGCCACCACTACCTTTGACCCCCGCACTTGGGCTTCCCTCTAAAAGCTGTCACCTCACCCACACCGAGCTCCCACCGCTCTGCCCTCCCTCTTTCCAGCAAAGGGGGCAGGGAGCCGGGCAGGGTCACTGTAGCCATTGGCTGTTGCTCCCCAGCCATTAGGGAACAGCTGCTCGGAGCCTGGGGAGGGAGCATGTGGGGGAGAGCGCTGGAGAGGCCGGCGGGGCCCTGGGGAGCCCTGAGCGCTGCTCAGCTGGAAGAAAGCTGAGGGGGTCTCCCTTCATGCCACCCACCCTCTGGTCAAGAGGAAGTGCCCAGCTTGTCCTCAGGCAGCAAAAACAGAGGCTACCAGAGGTGGGTGTGCAGGGCTGCTGGCAGGTGGGGAAAGGGAAGGGGTGGTGGTGGCAGGGAGTCGTCTGGACAGCCCAGAGAGTCGGGGGCCCGGGCTGCCTAGGAAGTCATGAGGCTTTGGCAGGAAGTCAGGGGGCCAGGCCCCAGGAGGCCACACCGCACCTACAGGCCTGCTTGGAAGTGACAGCAAGAAACACTTATGAAGCTTTCAAATGTGCTTGAAAAGGGACTTAGTGTGGCTCACAGCTTTTTGACTCTGCTCCCTTTACCACTTAGACAAGGCAGAACTGACATAATGTACACGAAAAACTTTTGAGTAGTTCAAAAAAGATGAGAAGCAAACAATATTTGTATAAGATTGGAGTGAAAAGGGAATCAGAAGGTAATGAAGGAATAAAAGCTCAAAGGTATGTTTGATGTCTACTGATTTGTGGGGCCAGGAAAAGGAGGCCAAGACGAGAATGCTAACAGAAGTACATTGCAGAAGGTGATGAGGATGGGAATAGCCAGGGAAAACATAGAAGAGAGAAGGTCAGCTGCAGGTTTAAAAGCACTTCTCATCGAAATGGAAATATTCATCTCAACTATGCTTTCTGCACATAATCAAGTTATGTCTACAGCCCAGATCACCATCTTTCCACCATACCCCACACAAAGGACAGTAGTTACCATTGGTCTTCTCCACAGATGCTTTTCGGCACATGTCTTAATAGCAACTGTTTCCATTTGGAATTTAATGAAGTCTGAGTCTAGTGACACCTTTAAGACCAACAACGTTTAATTCTGATGTACAAGCACACTTCAGATACATTGAAACAGACTTCCTCAAGCTGGTTTAGTTCCCAGGAAGGGCTAGTTAGAGTCAAGCGGTATAAATAACTGAGCAATTATTATAGCTAAGATTGGATTAAAGCAGTTGGTAAGACCTGTGAATAGCAGGAAATTAGCATATAAATACAAGCGTTAACAAACATGCAAGAACTGAGTTTGAACCCAGTGGCACCTTTAAGACCAACAAAGTTTAATTCTGGGTATAAGCGAGAACTGAGTAACTTAGCGTGTGTTGAGAAACCTGTAGGAGAACATTTCAGCCTCCCAGGGCACTCAATGGGGGACCTCAAAGTAGCCATTTCATTGCAAAGGAATTTCAGAAACAGACTGGAATGGGAGATGGCTGAATTACAAGTTATTAAAATAGTCAGGATACCTGAACTCCCAGGGTTCTTATCTCACTACACATGCTAAGTCACTCAGTTCTCACACCCAGAATTAAATGTTGTTGGTCTTAAAGATGCCACTGGATTCAAACTTAGTTCTCACATCTGTTGTTAACTCTTTTATTGTCTGTATGCTAATTTGCTGCTATCCACAGGCCTTACCCAACTGCATTAATGAAATCTTAGCTATACCGATGGATCAGTTACTTATACATCTTGACTCTACTTGCCCTTCCTGGCAACTAACTCCCCCACCTGTATATAAGGTTTGAGGAAACCTGTTTCAATGTATCTGAAGAAGAGTGCATGCACATGAAAGCCTATACCCAGAATTAAACCTTGTTGGTCTTAAAGGTGCCGCTGGACTCAAACTTCGTTCTGTTGCTTCAGACCAACATGGCTACCCTCCTGAATCTAACCTGGAAGGTAGCTCAAGTGAAAGGACTGGAGGCATCCACTCAGCCCTTCTTCTGTGGAATGCTCCTTCCACATGCACCTCCTTGTGTTTTCCTAGGAAAATCTTCTATCAATCACTGGAGAGAGGATTTAGTGCAACTATAGCAAACAAAGCATGGGCCCTCAGAGCTGCCACTGGCAATCCACTCAAAGGAACATTTTTAATGAGCCACTTCATCACCAGTCACCTGCCCAGCCCTGACCCCTTTTGTGACGGCTTCAGCTGCCTCAACGAACCAGGGTCAGCAGAGGGAAGCAGATCTGCTTTTCTGTCACTTTTTCTTTCCTCTTAAATTAATTGCAACAAGGAACACAGTTAAGTCAAAGCGAACAGGAAGAAATGGGTACAAGAAAAGGTCAAAGTCCAGCTTCAAGGCTGGCAGCTGCAGAAAACTTATGATTTGATATATTTTACTGGGTAGTTCATTCAGTGTGATGACAACTTGACTGGAAGGGTGGGGTATAAATAAAATAAATAAATAAATGGGAATGTAGTGTAGGAATTAGGAGGTCTGAGTTCAAATCCGTTCAGCCAATAACCTCACTAGATAATTTTGGGCAAGTTACTCTCAGCCCAATCTACCTCATGGGGCTGTTGTATAAATACAAAGTAAGAGTGGAGAGTCATATATACTGCTCTGAGCTCAATGGAGGAAGAACGGGATAAAAATGAAAGGCAGAGAATATTGGCTGGTTTAAAAAAGTCAATGTGGTACAGAGGCTAGAAAGTTGTATTTGTGTCTGGTAGATCTGGGTTTGAATCCTGCCTCTGCCAGAGACTTATTGTGTGGTCTTCACAAGTCACTGGTTGTGTTTTTGCCTCAGTTTCTCAGCAGTTACTTGCCTTATAGGCTATTAAGGTGGCACTTTTCAAGCACTTTACAAGAACCAAATGTGTTATATAACTAATATACACATAAAATGTGAACCTAGGGAACAGAGAATTTTGGAAGAGAGGTCAAGATTTAATTTAGTTTATTTGATTTTGATTTATCCCTCAAATATGTGCTGGGTTTAAATAATGGTTTCAGATACTGTTGAGAACTCTCTAGTATATCTGCAAAGGATATTTTCCCCAGTGCCACTTTGGTGCCAACTCAGAGAAAGTCCTCCTCGGAGTCCACATGGCTTGAGCTTATTTTACACCAGCATCACACCTCTGAACGCACAAACCTATGCCACATGTTCCCTCTTAAGTACAACTTGTATCTGTCCAGCAAGTCACCACTTGTTAGCCAGGCCTTACAAATTATTGTTGGCAGAATGTCCCAATGCAAATCTAAATGAGCCCCTGTATTACAGGTAGAATGCATGGTAAGATGTGGTCAGGTCCACTTTCAAGTAACCAAATTGGGAGATGCAGTGGCATTTCTCATCCTGTGCCTAATTAAAGCAAAGCCAGTTTGTGTAACTTATTGCCCATCACTACGCACAGATACTGGTGTGAACATTATATTACTGACATATGATAGCAGAAATATTCTTTTCAGTGGTAAATACTTTAAGAATCAAGACTGGAGATTTATAGAAAAAATAAATATCACTGTATACAATTGTGACTTGAATGGTCAGACAATGGAGGCCAAAGCCTATTCTGGACAAAAGAAATGAGGAAGACAGAGATACAAGTATTAGAAAGAAATACAAGAATTCAAGCAAAGCCACAATAAGGTACAAAAATGTTTGACTTTGGGAAGTGATGTAAACTAATGTGTCATTTTAGAAAGACAGATAAAACCATCCTTTCTTTATAAGCAGGCTGCTTCCACATAGGGGTTTTGCTCCAGGGACTGTGTTTTCCCTTTCTTAGCTGTGATCTTTCCCAAACCTGGTTTGGCACCCTCCTTTTGGGAATACTGCAGTCCATGTGTGTTTGTGCAATATCAGGACAGGAAGGTACACATTTTTAGGCAGGTCCTGTCCAAATCAGCACCATTTTCCTTGCTTCAGCCACCCCCACCTCCCTGGCTGCTGGCACCCCCCCCAATGGCTTTCTCAAGCTTCCCCCCCAAAAAAACAATAACACAGCAACTGAACATTGCTATAGAATTATAACATTGTAACAGTGTAACTACTACTTGTCTGAATTCCCAGTTTTCATTTCTTAAAAAGAGTAAGTTTCTAGCTCTTTTTGTTGTAGATATATGCCCTTTCCCCTTATGTCTTTGTATTTAAAGGAGCTACTTATTTTTTTTAAAACAACGAAAGCTAGGGAGTCAATTAGATCGATTGATATAACGTTATAACAATGCTATAGTGATGTCAATGGCTGATTAAAAGAAAAAGCTCAAAACCCCTCCAGTAGCATGAGAGGGTATGAATGGTGGCTGCAAAGGACCAAAGCTGTGTGGATGCTCTTGTGCCACAGCGAATACCTCTTCTTTTGCAGTGATGATGCTGTACAGAGAATTTTCACTATGTGGCAAACAGCCTTACAATTTAAAAAGGCAGAAGCGTAAAGGGCAGGGGGGCATCTGTCCCACTGCAGAGGCATTGGCTCTCGCCAGAAAAGCTACACAGAGAATCATCACCATGTGGAAGCAGCCACAGCCTCTTTGTATTAAGCACAATGGGCTCTTTAGGCATTCCACTGTATTCCGTATCTATTGTTTTCAGACTAATCCTGGAATGAATAGACATACAACAGTGTATGACAGGAGGAAGTGTTTCCTGTTTTCAACAAGATGAAGGAAATATCCCAAATTCTCAGGTGTGAACAGTATGGAAAGCTAAGGGATGTACCATATTATGCTCCCATTATAATTTCCCAGAGTCATCCAGTTGGCTACTACTGGAACGATTTCCAGGCATAACCCATAAGAATTATTTGGCTGGAGCAGAACAAAGTCCATATAGGCTAGTATTCTTTGGACCTTGTTCTGCTCCAACAAAGTCGTTCTTAAGAGATACTCCTGGAGGTCTTTGGGCTAGGAAGGAGACTTAGCTCTTTCATATTCCATTGCAGTGCAAATTAATATTTCAGTCAATAACTTCTAAGAGAAACCACTAGCATCTAAAGCAGTCATTAATTCAAACTGTGAATACAAAGTTCATCAGACTGTTAGGAACAACTGATATCTGGCATAAGAAGCTCTAGAGACCAAAGCAGGGTCTTCAGGATAAAAGATGTTGCCATGACGTGGAATGGAAAGAGGATGAAGTGCTGCTCTCTCTGATTCTAGCCTTCACATATTGTTCCAAAAGACAGTAGCATCTACTGTCTCACTTCTTACAGTGCACCCTGCAATGCACTATACTTTGAATGGTCCATTATGACTGATCTAGATCAGCAAAGGGCAGTTACAAGGTATTCCCACATTTGTTGTGCAGACAACCACAGGGAAATTTAACTCACTTGTGATGTCATAGACCACCACAGCTACTGTGGAGTCTCGAATGTAACTGGGAATCAAGCTTCGGAATCTCTCCTGGCCTGCTGTGTCCCAGAGCTGCAACCGCACCTGTTGGGGGGGGGGAGGACCAGACAAGATACGCAAGAGAGAAGACACACACAATTAGGAAGAGAAACAGCCCTGGAAGATGGAAAGAAAGGAGAACAAAAGAGACAAAGAACACATGGGGGAAGCAACCATCATTTATCTGAGATACCCTCCTGAGAGGGTTCCCCCCCCCCCCCCGGCTTTGCTTCTTGCCTCTGGTTAGTCAAGGCAACCATTTTCCTCTGCTGCAGAGACTGGTGTTTATATTGTTGTTGTTGTTATTGTTATTATTATTTAGATTTCTGAATCACCCCATCCCTGAGTACAGAGGGTTCTGGGCGATTTACCACAGATTAAAAACATACAAAGTACAAATTAGAATCGACAATCAGTTAAACACAATTGCTCAGTCTCCAGATGGCATTTGCCATTTACCTTAAGATCCTGCCCTAAGTTGTTCTTCTGTCTCATGGGCAGGTTAAGGGGAGGCTGAAGCGGGCAAAGTAGGAGTAAAGAGAAGGGTGCCAGCTATGATGGAAAGCCGTTGCTGTCCTCAACCAAAAGCCTGGCGGAACGTCTCTTCCTTACAGGCCCTGCAGAACTGCATTAAATCCTGCAGGGCCCTGATGGAATTTGGCAGAGAGTTCCACCAAGTCGAAGCCAGGGCCGAGAAAGCCCTGGCTCTGGTCGAGAACAGCCAGACACCTTTGGGGCCAGGCATCACCACCAGATTACTATCAGCAGAGCGTAATGCTCTCCCGGGGACATACCAGAGGAGATGGTCCCGAAGATACGCTGGTCCCAGACCGTTCAAGGCCTTAAAGGTCAGTATCAACACCTTGAATCTGACTCGGTGCTCCACTGGAAGCCAGTGTAGCTGGCACAGGACAGGTTGCATATGTGCTGTCCTTGGTGTTCCCGTCAGGACCTGCGCCGCTGCATTCTGGATCAGCTGGAGTTTCCAGGTCCAGGTGCAAGGGAAGGCCAGCGTAGAGTTACAGTACTCTAGTCTGGAGGTGACCATCGCATAGATTACCATGGCTAGGTCAAGGCGCAACAAGAAAGGGGCCAATTGCTGCACTTGGCGTAGATGGGAAAAACGCTAGTCTGGCAACATTTGTGACCTGGGCCTCCATAATTAAAGAGGTGTCCAGGATGATAACCAAACTCCTGATGGATTGTGCTGGTGTTAGTGGCGCCCCATCAAGCGTGGGAAGTCTGAGTCCCAGCCCATCCAATAGCAGATATAGCTGGGTGTCATTAGCATACTGGCACCCCAGCCCAAAACTCCACACCAGCTGGGCAAGGGGGTGCATACAGATGTTGAATAGCATTGGGGAGAAGACCACCTCCTGAGGAACCCCACACACTAAGGGGTACCAGGCTGACATCCTCTCTCCCTGTGCTACCGTCTGTCCCCGACCATGGAGAAAGGAGGAAAGCCACTTTAAGACTACCCCCCCCCAAACTCCTACGTTGGCGAGGCGGTGAGTCAGAAGATTGAAATCAACTGTGTCAAACGCCGCTGTGAGATCAAGCAACAACATCAGCGCTGACCTGCCTCGATCCAACTGTCTGCGGAGATCATCTGTCAGGGCAACCAACACCATCTCCGTCCCGTGGCCCAGGCAGAAGCCAGACTGGTGATACACACAGTTTAAAAAGCTGTTTGACAGCCTTGTGAATAAAAGGTGTGATACAAGAACAGGAGGCTAAGAGTCGTTGCGATACAATTGAAGAGCAGCTGAAAGGTGTAATGGAATGGTTTTTTACCAGATCAGGGCAATAGCCCATACCAGTTTCATTCATTGCTGCAAACACTTTTTCACTAACGGGGGAAATGGACACGGGCAGTGTAAGGATGCTATCTGCCACGTGTTTCCAAGCATGGCAGTATTCCAGCACTACAGCCTAGATCTCCTCCTGACTTGACCTCGATAGCCCAGGCTAGCCTGACCTCATCAGATCTTGGAACCTAAGCAGGGTCAGCCCTGGTTAGTATTTGGATGGGAAACCTTCAAGGAATTCCAGGGTAGTAACATGAAGGCAGGCAATGGCAAACCACCTCTGAATGTCTCTTGCCATGAAAACCCCACCAAGGGTCACCATAAGTCAGCTGCGACTTGATGGCACTTTCCACCTCCACTAGATCTCCTCCTGCAGTCCCAGGTCTGGAGGACCTCCCATGGGAGGGAGGACCGAACTGAACACACTGCTGATGTAGCATGGATTGTGTGTGAGTGTTTCCGGCCCATATTTGACTCTATGGCACATCTGCTGATCTAAGTCACATTTAACCTTGTGGGGTCTGCAATATGTTTACTCTCAACTGCACAGCCAGCAGGATGATTTCTTGTGGATGCCAAAGGAGCGCTCAAGAGCATCATCAGACAGGGCACAGTTTGGCATAAATGTTGTAGGCAAAAAAGACGTGTAAAAACTAAGGAGCTTTGCCTGAGGAATGCTTGCTCACAGCTCATCTGAATGCTGGGACTTGACATCACAATACACTTGGCTTCATCATTTCCCTAAGCCTCCAGTCGACGCGCAATAGATTTGGGGTATCATTTGGAGGGAAGGATGATGGAAATGAGAAGACCCTCTCAAGTTTCTGCCATGGGATCAGAAACAACCCCTTGGGAGGGGCAAGGAAATCTACCAATGCTTTTTTTCTTTCCTGTGCTCCACATCACTCAGCCTGTGGCTTTCATTAGTGCAACTGGAAAGCCCTGGAAACAACCCATTAGGTCTGAGATGGATGTCTGAGAATGCATTAACACTGCACGAGATAGTTAGCTGCTACTTATTAATGCAACAGCTGCTGTTTTCCTCTCATTAGAGCCAACTCCATTCCTCGTTGACATTGGATTATCCTTGTGCAAAGTTTCCCCAAAATCTATAAATCAAGACATTTTAATTGTGGGCTTCTTTCCCCCCCCCCGCCATCTATTGCTATTTACAAGGAGATATGCTGAAATGCAGGCACTTAGGAAGGGCTTCCTAGCAGAGGGAATTGCTGCCCATCTTTGAAGAGTCTGCTGGTCTGCAGACTTCCGGTTCATAAGACAGACAAAATTGTTCCACTGGGACTGCACATTCCTGGCTTCTAAGGTGCTGAATTACTTCCTAACATTCTCAGCATCCCTTCCGGTGTAACCCTTTCCTCTCCATACCCATTATGAACACACGAGTTCAGCCTGCCTACAAAGAAGTATGTCAGAAGTAGAACACTTCCAAATTGTTCCTGAAGGACTATGTTTGTGATACAAATATATATATAGAATCATTACATATGGTGCCTTTTGAGCCTGAAGGGTCAATCCCAAACAGTACTCACGGAAATGTGCATTCTATGCCATTTAGTGGGCAGAACTGGCCTGCATGGCCCATCTATCACCTGGCTTCTCTGTTTTCAGACCTCACTGCATGCATTCTAGAGGAAAACCCTTTCCATCAGCATGTCTAGCCCAGCTGCTTTCCACCAGCAGCCAGCCACTGCAAGGCCCTTTCCATGGGCTAGCTTACACCAATTTGTCTATATTATTTCTTTGCTAGAGTTTTCCTTGTGATAATTTGGAGTCTAAATGTTGAACTATCCCAGTGCTTTACATGCATGTCCCAAATCAAGACAGGCACAGAGGATGTCCTCAAAGCCCCTGGAACAGGAGACAGCTGGGGCTATAGGGTGGAGGTCACTCCAGTCAGCACTAATAGAGATTGCTGGACTCCATGGGCAAGAATTGAATCAAGTTAGTATTTTATAGGAACCCATTCCTCAATGTGAAGCATTTTGTGCCTTTAAAAGTAAACAGGTATTGATCTGAGAACTGTTCCATTAAATTTCATGTCTCTCAGTTCAGAGTTAGTTGAAATCCCAAGAAAAATTAATTCATAGTTCCAGTCCATGGGGCTTGTGGTCAAATTGTCTGAAATACATATATATGTTTCACAGAAATGATGGCTCTTTGTCATTTCAGTTCCATCTCACAAAGACTGAGAGCAAGTCATCTGTGAAAGAGCACAAAGGACAAGAAGGGTCCACGTGGAAACCTCTGGGTGGAAAGAGCAGCTTAATGCATCCTTGCCCAGAAAGATAAGAGACTTCTAAGAGCAAAAGCCTCTGTCAAAGGCGAACCAACGAGATGATATGAAAGCACATAAGAAGATTATGTGCTTGCCAGTTTGGGCTGTTCAGAACATGGGGTTAGCCTGGGAAATATCTCTTGCTTTTGCCTGTTACTTCTGTCTCAATACGTAGCTTGAGAATGTCAGCTTTTCAGCAATGCCTGCCACTTACTGTCCGGTCTTCTAAGTACATGGTTTTAGATAAGAAGTCGATTCCAATTGTAGCCTGCAAGAGAGGAAATGGAATAATGGTCAGCACTCATTCTGGGGCAAATCATTTTAAATTACACATCACTGCTGTGATTGAAAGAGCTACTTTACGTATACCCAAGGGCTTTTTAGTCATACCTAGTGGGGGGTGTGTGGTTATTTCTTCTTGCAATGGCAAACACCACCCATATCAAATAATAAACTGTTGCAGAAAGTCCCTGCAGTTTCAAAAGCAGTTGCTGTTGGACTTGAGGAGGTTGCTGGTCAACAATCACAGGTTCAACCTCCGCCCCGCCCCCCCCGCATAACTAAAGGCATGTCACTTAAGATCATGTCACTTTAGATTGTGTCCCTGATCTCAATTTTAGTGATTAGGGCTTATTTGCAGCATTGATAAGCATCACAAGTATAACACCTGCACAGCTTTGCCACAATTTCCTTATCCTCATTATGAGCATCCAGAGTGGTTCTTTGCTAATTCCTATGTAGCAAAAGTCAATGATAGCTGAACTTTCTTCTTTTGCACACTAAGACAAAGCCACTCATAGTCCTCCAAGAGCTTCAAGGAGACTCACCCACACACCCAGATTGTAGATGAAAACATGAACACATGAAGTTGCCATATACTGAATCAGACTTTTAGTCAATCAAGCTCAGTATTGTCTACTCTGACTGGCAGTAGCTCCCCAGGCAGTGATATTTCACGACACATCACCTATCATCTAATTTTTTAAACTGGAGAGTCCAGGGGTTAATCCTGGGACCTACCACTAAGCCACAGCCCCTCTCTTTAGATGCTTTTCATTTTTTTCTCCATTGTTCTACAGAACTGTAAAGAACTTACTAGGAAGTCACCCAGGAATTCATCAACATCAGTTACACAAGCTCTGTCAATTAAACAAGAGCTAGAAGTAAAAGCTACTATGGCTAAATGCAGGGGTCGTTTCATAGAAAAAGAGCTGCAGGAGCTCATTAGCATACCCTGGCCTGCCAAGGTGGGCGGGCAGGGAGTGAAGAGAGACGGGGTTTAAAGTTTAAACCCCTTCGCTCTCCATTCTATTCTAGGGAGCCTACCCTTCCCGTCCCCAGCTGCGAAGGGGTTTAAAGTTTAAAGTTGCCTGGGGAAGGGGAGGTTTTTGCTTCTCCAGCCAAGGGGGGGAGCGAAGAGAAAACTCTTTGGAGTTGGGTCGCAGTGGCGGTGCAATCTTTCAATTGTATTCTATGGGGCCACAGAATACAATGGAGAGATTGTGCTGCTGCCGCTGCACGACTCTAAACTGAAGGATCTGGGGGCGGGGAGCTGGGGGCGGGGCTTGCTGCCACCGGGGCTGCTGGAGCGGTGCTCAGGTGCACTCTGGCCCCAAACGACCCCTGGCTAAATGGATGGTGTCACCAGTATACCATGAACTACTTTGTCATAAAATGTATTCTGGTGTGGCAATTTGGGTGAAAATCTTACTGGGAGTGCACATGGTGGAGGAGTGCTTGGTTTCCAACCACGGGTGCAGATTCCAGCAGGGTTCATGGCATAGTGTGTCTCATGGTTGCAGAACTGACCAAGGTAATTAAAAGAAGCAACCTCCAGAGCTCAGGCACTGAAGCACTCCAGGTTGGGGAGTTTGGATTTCAAGTCACATCTGCTGCTGGGTTTTAGTTGATTAATCAAAGAATATATGCTGCAGTCTGCTTGGGGGATGGCCAGAGTTTAAAAAGCAAGAGAGCACCGGCTCTTTTAGCCTGCGCTGTACAATGAATTCATCCAAGTGTTTGGGAACAGGAAGCTAAGAGAATCTATCCATCTTTTGCGGTCAGAACCGTAAGGCTACTGTATGCTGCTGTAACCTTGGATATCTGGGAACATCTCCTCACCTGCAAGTGTGAACAGGATAAAGGAAGAGATGGAACCTAAATCTTCGAAGGAAAAAACCCTTACATTCAAAATACCCAGAACAATCTAGGTTATCCCTCACAGACACTTAGATCTGTTACTGCCCATCCCATGTTGTTATGAGAAATAGCACTTTGAAACAGAAGGTTACGGAAGAGAAACAAGGCAGGAGAGCAACAGCTAAAAGTGAAGGTCAGACAGGTTAGATTCATGCTTATTTAGCTTGATCCTCTCCTCACTGTTACAAATGGAGCCAGCAAAAGAGTTCTCGAGGTCTGGCTAAACCTGCAGTACTGCAAGGGGCTCTGTGTTTGTCTGATTCTGCTTTTCCAGGCTTCCATGGCAACAGTTAGTTAGGTCAGCATGCATACCAGACAGCTGCACATTCTCCCACCTAAATACTAACACTCCTCTTATTTACAAGTCCCTCTGGCTCTCCAGAATAACTGAAGACAAATAATGAAGTTTGGTGCCTGATAGTTTGGGCTTCAAGCTATAGCAAAGACCAGAGACAAGCAGAGTACAGTACAAGCAGGGGTCATTTCCTGCAGGAGCGCACAGGAGCAGAGCTCCGGCAGTAAAGAGCCCAGGGGGCGGGCACATGCAACAAGCCCCGCCCCCTGCTCCCAGCAGCCCTGGTCCACTAGGAGCAAGAAGCAGCCAGGTAAGTTGCAATGGGTGTAGCCTTCTGACACACTTCCGGTGATGTCAGGGTGTGTGGCATATGCAAATAAGCTATGCTAATGAGTTATGCTAATGAGCTCCTGCACCTCTTTTTCTACGAAATGACCCCTGAGTACAAGCAAAGACCAGAGACTAAGCTGAGTTGGTGTGAGCTAGCTCACAGTTTTTTAGCCTCCGGCTCACACATTTTTGTCTTGGCTCAAGAAGAATGGCTCCGGAGCAAACTAATTTATGCAGCAGTCAAATCGCACACTCCCAACTTTAATGCCAATAGCTCACAAAGTAGAATTTTTGCTCACAAGACTCCACAGCTTAGAGGGAGCACTGGAGACAAGTGAGACAAGCAAGATGATGAGTGTATGAATGGCAGTAAGAAAGCCTGTGCGGGTGATAGAAGCATCCTCCTCGAAGGAAATGTGGAACCTTAAGGGGAGAACACGTTTATACCCTTAAGCCTTTATTCTCCAGCCAGCTCCCAGTAACACTTTTACTCCCTGCTTCAGGGGAGCTGAAGTTTAATAGGGGATCTAGTGCTGAACCTGGATTCTTGAGGATCCCACGTGGAGATTTAAAAGGCAAGTTTCTGAATCTCATGATCACAGAAGAGAAACAAGCTTTAAAAGTGCCTACGGCTGGTAAGCTCTGAAACTGCGAAGGACCACAGCCAAGCCTATAGTGATGAATGGATCACTGGGAGAGGCTGCATTTCACACATGCCACCCCCATGCCCACGGCTCTGCTTCTCATCATCCTATTCCTGCCTCTCCCAACATACTTTCCTCCTTCCACTATTAGCAAACTATCCTGAATTCAGAAAACAAACAACCCTAACAGTGCCATCTTAATACCGAAAGAGTGATACCCTTCTAAGTCTACAGAAGTTAAGGGGTTTGGAAAGGTGCAACTCTGTTTACGATTGTACTGTAATTGTTACAGCCAGAAGACATGATCACAGTTGAAGTGAATGGACACAAACCATTCATTTGGTCAAAATGTGACATATACAGAGCTCAGGAAGATCTTCTTTCTCCCACCCCATTTTCTTTCTTTTTTAAATAAAGTTTTATTAGTTTATATATAGAAAGGGGGAAAGGGAAAAGAAAGAATATATATATATTGGGTTGGAAAATACAATTTTTAGGGTGCATATATATATAAACTAATTTGACATTCTGCATGCAAATCTTCTCATAAAAGTTCACAACTATTATAGCTATCTTTCTTATTGTTCTTCATTTAGTCTTAGTTTCTCGGTCCTTATGCTTTAACCAGTCATAGAACACCCTCCATGGTCCCATAAATTCTTCTTCCATGGGAATGTATGCTCCCACATGGGCTCAGTGCTGAGATGATAGCAAAAATGGCCTCCAGTAGCCCACAATTGCAGAGAGCAAGGAAAGGACTTCCAGGTCCTTATATTGATTTACTTTGCAGTTGTCAGAGGTGGGATTGAGCAAGTGGTGCCGGGAAAAGTGGTGAAGCCAGTAAACACACTGTAAACACACTGTTTACAATGGTATTTTATAGTCAGAGACTGAAAAACCCCAGCAAAGATGATAAAGACAGAAGTGCCAGTATAAGCTACAACAGGAGCAGCTGCAGCAGCTATGATTACTAGCCCAAGGTGGCAAAAATGAAAGGTTACCTTAAATGGGAAGATTAGCAGTGCAATCCTAAACAGAATTACACCTTTTAAGCCCCTTGACTTCAATAGATTTAGAAGCATGTAACTTTGCTTACGATTTTTAGGTTGCATCTACTTTGCTGACCTTTAGAAAAAACACAAGCAGACGACCTGCAAGGACTTGTGGAAGGCATCTCATTTCCCTCCACCCCACTATTTCCTCTTTCCTTTCCATGAAAGCCCCTATGACCTCTCCCCTTTTCCTGCTTCCTTCTCTCCCTCCCACCCACCAGCCAACTTACAGTTATCTGCCCACCTCTACATAGGGTTGCCAACCTCCAGGTGGGGCCTGGAGTTCTCCCACTTTTACAACTGATCTCCAGCTGACAAAAGTCGGCTCCCCTGGAGAAAATGGCTGCTTTGAAGGGTGGACTCTAGGGCATTGTACCATGCTGAGGCCCCTCCCCAAACCCCACCGTCTCCTGGATCCACCCCCAAAGTCTCCAGGTATTTTCCAACCCAGACCTCGCAACCCTACCTCTGCAGCTTTCCCTCCTTCTCTCCCCCTGGGCAACTTCTAGCCAGGCTGCATGGTGCCATTTACTAGGTTAGGCCCAACTGTATGGTACTGGCTGGACTGGGTCCAGTTGCACAGTGGGGGGAACCTGCAAGGACTCCTGTCTGTCCATGGCCCTAATATCTGAATTTAAGTATCCAGAGATGGTGCTACACTGAGAATTAGAAATATTGATATTGGGTTGGATCTGCCAGAAGGAGAGGATGGTTTTTACTGATTTCCTCCTGCTACGGTAGACCAACTCCCCTCGCATGCTGTTCTTGCAGGTCCCCTGTCCCCGAGATGCGGTATATTCTGGGCTGAAGCTGGGTAAATCCCGCTCCACCAATTAAAATCTCGTTTATCAGCAGTGGTTTCGCACAGAATCTAGCTCATTCATGTCCTGTATGTCTCACTTTTTGGCCAGCCACCTGCTGCTGTGAATACAGAGCGCTGCTGAATACATCCCTCACAGCCTCAGTCATTCAAAGGGCCCCAAATAATGAGGCCACACACTAGGCTTATAGATAGTTTCTGATCATGAGGAATGAGTTTTTTTAAAAAAATGCAGGCAATTCAGCAAGGAAAACTTTGTGACAGACACAAGCTGGTTGTTTGTTTCTTTTTTAAAAAGCCATTTATAAATGGGTAATAGTACTTGGACAGGGAATCACCAAGGAAGTCCAGGGTCACAATCCAGAGACAGGCCATGGCAAACCACCTACGAACATCCCTTGCCTTGAAAACACTGCAGAGTTGCCATAAATCGGCTGTGACTTGGCGGCAAATAAATAAATGATGCAGGTATATGAGGGCAGATAGGGAGTCAGTGTTTTTATGTGCTGTGGTGCTTTTTTAGGGATTTATTTGCAAGTTGGGGTCACCACCTGACAAGCTCCAAAATAAGGTACAGATTGTGGTACCACAGGAAAATGACATATTATGTGGGTCAGAACCAGTGCTTCTAATAGGCTGACTTTCTCCTTGGCTTTCTGTTTGCAGGATGGCTTCACCCCATCCCCCTTGGTGGGTGGGAGCATTTGGTCTCACAAATCTCTTCCTTCAGTGTAAAATTGGACAGCCCAGATGCAGGCTTACCCTTTCAGCAAGGACTTGGCCTTAATGTGCTGCCTCCCGGCTAACACCTTTACCACCTCAGGAGAATGGAAGAATTGAAAGCCATGATATTGCTTTGATTCTGTAAGACCCAAGGAGGCCATCAGGGGAATGAGGCAATTTAACAAGGGAGTCCATCTAGTTTGCCCACACAGGACCCAGTCCTGTGATGCATTTTAAATTGCTCGTCAAAAGGTGAAAGGGGAGTTTATTTACTCCACTAATCTGAAACATTGATTGAGTCAAGTGTTTCTTTAAGCTTAACATGGCAAGGGAAACAATTGCAGAAAGCTGACTGAAAAACACTGGTCCAAATCATAACCTGTAAGCACACTACCTCTGGAACACCTCACTATCCCTCTGGAAGAGGATGGGGAAGCACCTCTAATTTAATGGTGACAAAGAACGAGACAAACTGAGCCTGGACTTCTTTCCAAGATAACCTCTGAATAAAGCTGAATTTATCCACATCTAGCAAGGCTCACAGTACAAAGAAAAACGAACTGTAACAGATGCAAAATTAATACAGTAATGTTTCTTAATGGACCAGGTATTTGGCAAAACACAAACAAGCAAGCTTTAAGCTTATGCAACAGCCATCCACCAACCAGGAAGCGAAAAAAACATAGGTAGTAGTCAGAGAACTGTCCCTATGTAGTTGATGCCACAATTCACATTGCATCAAAGGGCTATTCAGTGCCAAAATTTTGCAAGCCACATTTAGTGTTTGAGGTCTCTTTAGCATCTCCTTGGAGATAAACTCTTTGGGGGCGGGGGTGTATGGTGAACTAGTAGAAAAAGCACAGGAAAAGTGAGTTTACAGCTGTACTGAACGTGGCAGATCTAAACTTTCATTCTTCATAAGAAATATTCATTCTTCATAAGAAAATCGGCACAGGACTTCCACCCCCCCCTGACAGTCTTGATTGCAACATTGCTATCAAATAAAATTTGAAAATGCAAATATTTTTACACTAGCAAGTGACACGCAGAGGAATGCTTCAGGATGAGTGAAACTCACCTGGTACGTGTTGTCAAAACTGTCATACATGAACCTTGTGATCAGGGATGTCTTCCCAACTGAAAAAGAAAAAGCAAGGATTAAAATGAAAACCATGGACACTGAGGCCATTAACAATTCTGGTCTCTTCATTCAGCCTCAGGGCAGTCATTCTTTGGAGCACTCTCAATTCACAAGAGGCAATGGAGAGGCCCATCAAGTTCTGCTGGCACCATAGAGAATGTGCACTAGAGCAAAGAATGCATGGAAATTTTGCAGCAGATGCACAGGCAGATGGATCAATGTCGAAAGCATTTCCATGGGGAGGGGAGTTTCAGTTCCACTGGCTTAAACATATATATAAACCATCTCTCTAGATGCTTACCCATATGTGCAGTAGGGTAGTTCAGGGATCTCAGCCAGTACATCTTTAAATCTCTCATAAGCAGCACCACTTTAAAGGATGCTTTAAGAACAGCACGGTTCGCCTCAGGACATAGCAGAGGAAACAACCCAGGTTCCCTTCCAACTGCCAGAATTGAATTCCAAGAACCATTTCATGCAATGTGGAAATAGCGGGCAGGTGCAAGTACCTGCAGTGTTCTCACATTGGATATGCATGCCACAGAGATCTGCAATTGCACTGGACCTCACAGTGGTACAAAAAATTAGGGATGCCCAAATATCCAATGACTCAACTCATGCCCTATTTGCCTGTTACAAAGATGGAGCAGATTTTTTGACAGACAGTTCGGAGTTTGTCTAAGGCATCTTTAGCAATGTGAATGCCTGCTGATCTATTTGGATTTGCAGTGATTTCATGGGTGCACAATTTTGGAAAAACTTGAAGCAAATCTGTTTGGTGGGTGTTGGAGTCATTCTGTGCTGAACCAAACAGACCTGGTGATCAGCTCATGTCTGAACACCACATTCAAACACAATAAGTTTGACTGCTGGATGTGTTTGCTGCACAATTTGCAGCATCCCTGCAAAACCATCCCTGCAAAACCATCCCTGCAAAACAGTATGATGCTCGCACTGTGGGTCATCCCCATAATATGTGAAGCAACTCTAGGAGTCTCCTGGTTCCTAAACCACCACAGGCTTCCCTTGCAAAAGAGTACTTGATGGTTCCCTTGCATAATTAATTCCCAATTCTGCTATTGTATGGTGGAAGCCCAGAGCAAGGAGACAAACAAGATTAGGGTGCAGTACGATAAGAATCATCAGACCTTTAGGAAGCCAAAATCCATAAGTTATAGTAACATGAGAGCGAATGGTTGATGAAAAGATAATTTTTGATTATGGTGCCACAAAACCAGATTGACTCAATACCTTTTTTTCTTTACTTTTGTTTTACATCCCCTGCCCCTCCCAACCAGGAACTCATTCTAAGCAGTGTCCTATCCAAGTATCAGCTAAAGTCCAGATCTGTTCAGAGAAAGATTATTTATTTATTCCATTTATTACCCATGTTTCTCCTTGACACTCAAGGTGAATCAGAGAGTAATAAAAACACGGCAATAAAGATGACTATAGTACATACAATGAGCAACACGATAAAACTGAATGACACAATTAAAGAGCAATGGAATACAGGCAGTATAATATATCCAATGAACAATTCCACATAAAGGAGGTGGGGGAAAAACAGCCTATGATTTTCACAGGCAACTAAAATCAGAACCTTTTATCTTTTCAGAAAGTGTTCTTCTTGCAGAATTTTGTTTTTCTAAATCACCATTCCCTTTATAAAAATGTCCGCCAGAACAATTCCATTTTACACAGGAAGTGGTGGGTGCTACAAGCATGGACGGCTTCAAAAGGGAATTAGATAAGCATATGGAGCAGAGGTCCATCAGTGGCTATTAGCCACAAGGTATAGCTAGGGGCTCTGGGGCAAGTGATGCTCTGTCTTCTTGGTGCTTGGGGGGGGGTCAACAGTGGGAGGGCTTCTAATGTCCTGGCCCCACTGCTGGACCTCCTGATGGCACTGGTATTTCTGGCCACTGTGTGACACAGAGTGTTGGACTGGATGGGCCTTTGGCCTGATCCAACATTGGCGTCTCTTATGTTCTTATGTTCTTATGTTCATTCTGCAAAATGATAGAAATGTGGGGGAGGGCTCTTCCTGATCAACATCAGATGCCTTTACAACATCCTCTGGGAACTCAAATGCTTTAGACATGCTCCTGTTTTATTTCCTACTAGCAGTAAAGCCCGTTGTGAAAGCAATACAACGAGATCTAGAAAGAGGCTCTGGCGCAGCGCTCTGGTTTGGGCAAACAGTGTCAATTTGCTGTGGTGACCGCAGCAGGGTATAATGACAGAGTCCACTGTTTTCTCCAGAGGAACCGATCTCTGCTACCTGAAGAGCAGTTGTAATTGTGAGTGATCTGTAGCCCTCACCTGGAGGTTGGCAGCAATTGTTACCCAGGACAAAATGGCTGGTTTGGAGGGTGTAGTCAATGGCATTCTACCTGTCTGAGGTCCCACCCCTCCGCAAACCCCACCCTCTCCAGGCTCCACCCCTCAAATCCCCAGGAACTTGTCAGCATGTAGTTGGCAACCCCATCTCCTTCCCAGCTAACCATCAACCTACCATTATCTGCCCCTTTGACTTCAGCTGACTTCTGCCCTCCCTTCTGCAGAGCAGTTGTAATTCTGAGTGCTCTCCAGCCCTCACCTGGAGATTGGCAACAATGGTTCCCTATGTGGGACTGACTGGTTTGGAGGGTGGAGTCTATGGCATTGTACCTGTCTGAGGTCCCACCCCTCCTCAAACCTCACCCTCTTCAGGCTCCATCCCTCAAATCTCCAGGAATTTCCCATCTGGAGTTGGCAACCCTATCAGGACTGGCCCCAATGTGTTTTCTCCCAAAGGCCAAAGTAGGTGACAAGACCAAGCTTAGTCGCCTACCAACAGGCACTGAGGGGAATGTAGGGTTGCCAGCTCTAAGGAGGGAAATACCTGGAGGTTTGGGGGGTGGATTCTGTAGAGGGCAGCATTGGGCGGGGGGGCGGAAGGAC